AATTAAATGAATCAAATGCACTGAATAAAATAATCAAGGAAATATAATTTTCTATAAACTAGTCCTCAGAGGAGAAAATAATGCAAATATTTTTCAATTTTCAGAACCTGAGAAGCTAAGGAATATAATATGTTATGAAATACAGTATTAAATAATTGGTGTATTTTTCCCTGTTATATTTATTTTACATGATTTCTTCTATACTGCATTATGTAACTTTATACCAATTATATTTGGCATGTTATTTTAACTCGGAGTCCAATAAATACATAACTATAAATATATTAAGTATACTGTAACATGTATGTAAACAAATTTATATTAACTTTTATGGTTCACTGAAATTAAATATTTTAATGTTTATATTTTGTGAAAGACCCCACTTGAGTAAGAAAACTTTGGGGTAAAAAGGGCATTCTGACAGATAACGAGAAAGGTGATATCGGATAAAAAATGTTAGAATGTTGATTTAATTAAAGAATCCCGAACATTATGAAAGCAGTAGCTTTGAAAGGTCTCTGTTATAACATTAAACTTATTACTGCATGTAATATCACATGTTCTCATTAAACTTGAAAAGGTTATTTTTGGTGAAAGACAAAAATAGAAAAATCTTAACTTTTATACTATTTCAAAAATTGTATATGTGGAACCTCGAGATATGAGCATCTCTATGTACGAGAAATTCGAGATATGAGGAAAGTATGAGCGAAACATTTGTCTCTAAAATATGACCATTGACTCCATGGATGCCATGCATAATTGTTGGTATGCGTGGCACCATTTCCCGATCCGTCTCGACTCGGGAAATCTCCTCATCAGATCACTTGGTATTCTTTGATCGACGTGTTTGTGCACTTATGAGTTAATTGTTTATTACATTTAACATGAAAATAATTGTTTCACGATGCCTCCCAAGAATATTGTTGCCTCAGATAGTGCTGCAAAGAAAAATAAGGAAGCCATGGCTATTGAAATTAAGAAAGAAATAATAGACAAACAAACATGGTGTAAGAGTGACGGAATTAGCAAAGACTTACGGCCTTTCAACATTCGACAATATGCTCTATTCTGAAGAAGCATGATAAAAGAAACTTGATGTAGCCAAAGGAGTTAGTGTTACTTCGAAGCACCGTCCAAAATGCCTAGAAGATGTTGAAAAGCTGTTGTTGGTGTGGATTAACGAGAAGCAGGTAAAAGGTCGGGTTGGAAGCTATAATTTGTCGGAAGCTATCATAAACTACTGTTATATTATTTACCAGTATTATTTATTAGAAAAATTTATTTTTATGTTGATATTTTTGGGAGTGCGGAACAGATTAATTGGATTTCCATTATTTTTAAAGAGGAAGTTTGTTTCGAGATACGAAAAATTCGCTATATGAGCTCAATGCTGGAACGAGTTAAACTTGTATCTCGAGGTTCCACTATAATATAAAAATTAAGTATACTTTTTAGCTATTTAAGGTTTTATGTGGTAAAAGTCTTTATACATCTAAACATAGAAGTTTGCTTATTTTATATGTTATCTTCATATTACAGTACAAAGTCCGGGATCCGGACTCGTTGGGACTTCGGCAATTTCGGATTTGGGATTTTTCTGGATATTAGATCATCAATTTAAATCTAGTAAAATGGCATGTAAAAACTATAAAATAAAAAATATGAAATATTCATTTATGAAATAATGATGCATTTATGATCTAAAGAGTATCAAAATTTACAAAAAAAAAAAAAAAAAAAAAAAAAAAAAAAAACTTAATATTTATAGTTTACTTTATTAAACATTTGTTTGAATGTAAATTGTTTCAGTTGCTTCATTTTTTTTGTGCTAATACTTTCTCTTAAATTCTGTAGACAGACATAATTTCTTGTTTAGTTACAAAATTCAACTGTTCAAGTCCTGTAGTTGCTGTGTCGAGAATTCCAACTAACTTGTTAATCGAAATGTTTTCGTTTTCAATAACATCTCTGTCACTTTGGTAGTGGTATTTTCTTGATCTAGAACTATTCTACAGATTTCGCCATCTGTTAATTGATTGATGATTGGAGCATTGTCACCACAATGAAAAACTCCTGTTATATCATCTTCATCTACTACCCCTTCTCCACATTTCTTTTCAAAATCCATTAATTGGAAAATTTCACTTGTGGTGTCACTTCACGTGTGGTTTTTACTTTCAGATATCACATTTGTGATATCTGAAAGTGGTTTTTTCAGATATCACATTTGTGATATCCGAATTTGAAGGCTTTCAGATATCACTTCATCATCCTCATTATGAAATACGATAGCTGGCCATAAATTATGCCAAGCATTTTTAAAGTATGTGGAGGCACATCCTCCCATGATATTGCGATAGCAGATTTTATGCTAAAATATTTCAAAAATTCTGGTATAGTCTTGCAATTATTCAAAAAATTTAACATTGATTTTAAAAATGCTACATTTTATTTGCATTTTAGTGCACACATTATTCTGATATCCGTAGGCTGAATGATGGATGTACAGTTTGGAGGAAAGACTAATACGGATATATTATCTTTCACTAAAACTTTAAGTGAAGTATGAGCTGAACAGTTATCTACAATCAGGACAGTTTTTATGTCATCAGGTAAACTACCCGAATTCAAATGCCGCTGACCCTCGGATATGAAATAATTTTCAAACCAATTTTATTTGCACAATATATAAAGGGGAAAATATTTACTCCTTTAAATGCACGAAGTCATGTATTTTTTTTTTTTTTCCATTATGAAAAGTTTACACTTGTGCATTCTTGCAGCATTTGTGCATGCTAAAATTGTTAGTCTCGCGTTGGAATCTTTGACACCAGTTGCAGACTTTTCTGTAGAGGTTGCTAAGGTATTTTTCAGTACATATTGCCAGAAAAGGCCAGTTTCATCACCATTGTAAATTTATTCTGGAGGTAACGTTTCACTGTTAACAAGTTCAATGAATTCATCTGCAAATAGTTCAGCAGCTTCAGTATCAGCTGAAATCTTTTCACCTGAAATTTTTAATTGCCCTACACCATGGCGATTTTAAAATTTGGTTAACCAACCTGTAGAATATGTGCAGTCAGGTTTTTAAGTTCATTTCTTCATGAAATATTTTGGCATTGGACCTGTCAATTGCACGCCCTCGGTGCGATGCTGTCTGACCCATTCAACCATCACTTTATCATGATTGTCACTTTTAGTATGGCAAATAACTTTTTCTGTTATTCGTTGCGAGTGGGGATCAAAATCCAAAAAAAATTCAAAAAGTTCTTTTTTTGTTATGTTATATACAGTTGACTTTCCAATGAAGTTGGTACAGTTGACCCCCCGCATAATTTTGAGATGGATATACCTTTATCCAATTTTGCAGCAATTCCACTTTTTGTTTAATGGACATCGAAACATGCTTTTGCTTTGTACACCCTGTTGCAGCTCCACCAATAAAAACTCTTTTCAGACATAATCAAAAGTTCAAACTTTAATTTTCATAAAACTGCTGTAATGATAACAGCCTACAAAAAATATTAAGCTAGATCAAATTAGAATGTGAAGGAACATCACAATCTGCTATATTTCGAAATTCCTTGTAATCGGTAAAGTATATTTTAGCCTAGCTCAATAGAGTCCCCTATATCGTTATTGGCTACGTATCATGAGATTGGCGATGAAAACAAGTTGTTCCGCTAAATTTTGTCTTGCTTCTATCACGCATGAGACAATTAAGCCTGAATTGTATTAGTTTAGTTATTTATTATACTTACGTCTGTTACTTGCACATGCTTTAAAGCTTATCCGAGTCCTAAATAAATAAATTCCCACATATACTTAAGGCGTATCGAAGGCTGGCGCTAGATAGCTTACAACTTGATGCAGTGTCTTCCGGTTCTAAATTCTGCAACCAAGCGCTTTCCTAAGTTCTAAATTTTTGCCACTCCTGAATTTTGGATCCCAGTGTTTTCCCCTAAATTCTAAAAATTTTGTTATCCCTTAATTTTGTTGCTCGGTGCTTCTCTAAATTCTTCTTCCCGGTGCAGCCATACTAGCTCTGACCCCAGTTCTGGGTTTTTATGAATAACAAATCAGTTATTCTTAATTCAAATAGCATTAAATATAATATTTTGGCCTGTAAGTTTCATTAACAAAATCTATTTCAAGCATATGAAAAGAATTCTGTTAAATTTTTCTTCATCAACATTTCTTAGAGCATTTAACTTAAATCTGTAATCATTGGCAAGCGTGATGGCAGCATAAAAGGTTGCCGTACTCTTTATTATTCAATTACTAATAAAAAAGATTGTTTAGGCATCGCTGCATGAGTAATTACTCAAGTTGTCGTGTGTTGATAAACATGTGGTGATGAAAGCAAAATACAATAAATGATGATTCACCAGGTTGGTGTCAGGGATATAAAATATTAGTACATGTAAAATCAATGATGTTTTTATGTAGAATGTTTCGATTTGAGGTGTATGTCAAGCATATACACAGCTACCACATATTGATCTCGCAAAATTATACTAAAATTTATCAGCCAAATTATTGATCTCTCAAATTTATGATAAAATGATTAATGATTGTTTCTTCAATAATGAGGTATTTTATTTAGTACCTAAGTAAAATTAATAATTGGACTCTCTATGTATTTTATTATGGGGAAAAATATAAAATGGGCATGCGTAAAGCATACAAAAAAAAAAGGTTGTGGCTTTGAGGTATGGATTTTAGATCATTCCGAATATTGGACGCCGGGATTTCGGACTTTGTACTGTATTACAAATAAAAAACTTAAACACTGTTTCCCTCCCCAAATTCCTCTTTTCCAATTGCAATCTTTTTTGTTTGTACTATGACAGCCTCTTTTATGATATGTATGTGAACGAGATATTAAGGAGCAGAAAAGCTGTGTTAAAAATTTGTATGATGGGACTGAATTAAATTTTAAATCATACATGCATGACATGATAAATGTGTATTTTATGTGTAACTGACTTTTATAGATTAATCCATTTTCCTGACGATGCAGACGACCCTATTGAGATGACCAGACGCAGGTTAGAAGAGCTTGCTAGAATGCCAGTTAGTCGTGGTAGAGGGCGTGGCCGTGGACGCGGTGGCCGGGGAAGAGGAGGGCCACCTCGAGGTGGTGGTGGTCGTTTTTCCAGAGGTGGTGGTGGAAGCCGCCCTCGATCTTATTCATCTCATGACAGCCGAAGTAGTTATGGTGGAAGCAGTAGCTATGGAAGCAGTAGCTATGGAAGCAGTGGTGGTTATGGAAGCTATGGTCGCCGATAAACTGATATATTCCATATTTGTAATGTAATTACAGTCATCTTCACTGTATTTCATGTGATAAATATATGCTTTCATATTCATAAAATAATGTATTAGATTTATTTATGCATTATAATTTAATTGATGATGCATTCACTTAGAACACACACTAAGTGATCCCAAAATACCAGAATATTCATAACTATTTCAAGTAGATTTTTTTTTACTTGTCTATTTGCTTATTAACATTTTACAGTAAACAGAATTTTAATGGTCCCCCCCTTTAAAATTTCTAATTTGTTTGCTGACTTGAAATCATTGTACCCAAAAAAAAAAAAAAAAAAAAAAAAAAAAAACATTTTGACAGTAATATATAATAATTTTTAACATATATATATAATGAAAAGGAAAAATTTTAATACAGAATTATGCTAATGTAATACATATTTCAAAATCAGTTCTCTAAAATCACATAGCTGTAAAAAACATTACAAATATTTTTATTTTCTCCAAATTGAATGTTTCTCACCACTTTAGATTAAATGTATAGTTTTCATGTGAAAATGCAATTTTATTGGTTTTGCATATCATTTGGCTAAAAGTGATATTTAGGGGCAAACTGCACAAAAAAAAAAAAAAAAATAATTTGGTCTGTTTTATGTGTAAGAAAAAAGAGGCAGAATTCATTTTCATCCGCATGCGAGTTCAATAACAGCCTAATAGTAATTATAATGGATTATAATTTTTTTCCTATTTCTAATATATCAACGATAGGATTTAAGTTTCTGAGCAAAAAGTGAAACATTTCAAAATTATTTAATTTTTTCTAATGAAGAGCTCTTAAACAACTTTTCGCTTTTAGGAATGTGAACTCCTTATCAACATTTTGGTGATTTTAAGATAAGTTTTTATAGATAATTTTTAAATCGGAAATGTGGGAATTTTTCGGTGATATTTTTTTAAAACAATTTAACATTGATCAGTTTCATTAAAACAATGCTAATCTATTGAAACTTTATTCAAGAAATAATATTAAAATGAGACATTTTTATTTTTTGCTATCATATTATAAAGTGACATTACAAGCACAATTTATGAAACAATGCTTAGCAAAATAGCTATGCAATTAATTAAAAATGCCTTTAATGTTTTCGTGGTTAGAGTTTTATCAATGTAATTGTCTCAATATGCACCAGTTTTCTCTATAAATTAATTTTAACCTTGTTTCCTCCAATGTTTTTTAACATATTTTTGGCTTTTTGCTGTTACAGAATTGGTAAGGGTAATTTTTCTTAAGGATATTAGACATTGCAACTTGGAAAGTTTAGAAGGATTTGAAGACCATCATCAGACTCATGAATCTTAGAAGATTCCAGAAAAATGTTCTCATGGTACTAACATGTAATGGATTTTACAGAAAGTTTGTGATGAACTTTTACATTTTGGAGAATTTTCGGAAGAACAATGAAAACATTTGAATTACATTAGACTTCTGATACTAGAAGTCTTTTTCTTAACATGTTGACGTCCCTTTTTTTTCTCTTCTTTTCACTAGACACAAGAATGGAAGATATCAAAAATGCTTCTAATCTTATCACATGGGCGGGCATTTATAAAAAGGATTTTTTCTATTAATAATGAAATTGATAACTGAAAATTTAAGATTTATTTTCTATGCCTCAATGCATCATCTGTGGCATAGCTAAGGTGAGGCAAGGGGGAACATTTGTCCCCGGGCACAGCATCCATGGGGTGACAAATTGATGTTACAGAATTTTAGGATGAAATGTTTTTTCATTCTTGGCATACAGAAGGGGACGCATGATCTTCAGTTGTCCCCGGGTGCTGAAAACTCTGCATCATACACTGGGATGACATTATGCATTTCTCCACCTTCTGTTGATCCTAAAGTCTGCTGTTTAGTGCCTTTCTAAACTATTAAATTTTGCCATTTCTAGATTTTTTTGTTCAGCAGGTCACTAAATTCTAAAAATTCTGCTACACCGGCTCTGTAACTGGCCCTTACCATATATCAATTCATATTTATTATGAATGTTCATATTACTAAAGAAATAAATTTAGCACCTTTTCCTATACATTCTAAATGCATTTAGTTTCTTAGAAAAATGGAAATCTTTAATTAAATCCAAAAATTCTAAAATGAAGAGGAAACATATTGCAGAAAGAAACCAAATACATAAAGAGAAAGAAAATTATCAAAGATATGTACTGTTATTTTGAAAATTAAGCAGTTGTTTATAATTTGACTCTGCTACAATTTGCCCTTTCCATTTCTTCGCAAGAATGAAAATCATTTAAAGAGTTTTAATGTAAGGTTTTGGGGTTGTAAGACAGAATTTGTTTTCGGCCTCCGCTTTCACACTGTATCAGTTCCTACTAGCTCTGATAATTTATAATTATTAATTTTTGCGTTATCGCTGCCGATTTTTGAATTTGTTACGATGAGTTAAGTGTTTGTTATGATGCGTTACTGAGCCAATTTAGATTAAAATTAAATTGTGTAGTCTTTGATTACTAGCCCACATTTTTAATTCGACTGTTCATGTTTAATTGGATCACCATTAGCTGCAGTTGATTTTGCTAGCATAAGAGCATGCCTTTATCTTCTAAGGTCTTTTAAAATAAGAGGCTTATTTAAACCTTTCTCAGACTTTATAGTTACTTTCAGACATAGCGATAATTTGCTTCATGTCTGTCGGGGGTTTTGAACTATTTAACTTTTATCAGACCAAGTTGTAGAGGCATTAGGATTTTTGGAAGCAGAAGAGATAAAAAATTAGCAACGCCTTCGCCGGGAATCGAGTCATGGACATTCTGAAATACCAGCTCAGTGTGGCTAACCACAAAGGCATGCTAGGAAGGCGGGAGAAATACCTTACAAAGTAAAGCCTCGAAGCAGTCGATTGACAAGTTATGAGATAAAACAAGCAGAAACTAGCGGGAATATTGGTTTGTATATCAGCCCTTTGCTGCACACCTAAGAATTTCCCTCTGTACACACAGAAAAACTGAATGAAACATGATTTATAGGTTACTATGAACCTTCTTTATTTATACTAGACTGTAGCACAACACAAACCAGTCCATATATTTTAGCCATGTTTAGTTTTTAAAAGACCCTCATTTTCAAAATCTTCCAGATTTTTTTAGGATATAAAAGGAATTGTTTGAAAAGAAACTTCTGTTTATTTTCTTGGCTGTATATTAATCTACTTATTTTATATTAGTTTTAAATTTTTACCATGAAATCTCGCCTAAAATTTAACTTTGAACATCAGGTGTGCCCAGAGTGGGATCATTAGGACCAGACGAACAATTGTATATTTGTTTCACTGCAGTTCTCCGATGAGCTCGTTCACAATAGAAAGGTGGATTCCACATCTGTGTTTTATTTCCTGATTTTCTTTTTTGGGGGGGGGCAGGTTTGTTTATTAACTAAGAAATTGTTTGGGCAATTTTATCAGCTGCTGGTTTTTCCGCTAGAGCAGTTATCTTTCGCTCAAAGGAGTTTTGTTAGTGCTACATTTTGATAGTTTTGAGTTGTAAATGCTTATTTAATTTAATTTTATAGTTTTTATATTTTCTAATTGTAGATATAATATTAGTTTATTTTTTCTGATTTTTTATTTAATTTGCAAATGGATTGGAAAGGACTGACCATTTCTGAAGCAGGGTTCGTAGAAATTTGAAAACTTTGCTTTTAATGAACACTCATTTTTCCCCCGTACCAAAGCCGAAACTAAATAAACAACTTTTCTTTCTTATATGCAATGTCAGATGGTGAATCATATTCCCGAAAATTGCTTTCCCCCCTTCCTCTGCATTAACGTAACCTATAGTGCGCGCGAGAGCACAGACAGGTGCACGTCGTTCTATTGGCCAAAGAATTGCGAAAACGTAGAAAATTCCAGTACATTCGCTATTCTTTTCCTCCCATCCAAATACTACACACGTTTGAATTTCCATCAAGATTTTAATAAATCTGCGCTCTTGCTCCGCGTGGTCAGTTCATATTCGTGTTTATTATGATTGTTATGTTTACATTATGAGCATATGTATGAATATTTATAATAATATAATTGTGGTAACTGCTGAAGTATAGGTAAACTTCCAAAAATGGGTGTGTTTTTACACAGATTAGCTTTCTAAGGAATAATATTCGGAATGGCTTAAATAAAAGGAAAGTAATCGAATAGTCAAAATAATTTCATTTTCTTTGCCAATACATTATACAGTACGGAGGTTGGGAGTTTCTCTACAAAATCTCTAATATTGAAGCAGCGGACTTTTTTTGGTCACTGTCCAATCTGGATTGAATAGGACTAAAAGTTTTTGTGGTCTACCCAACCCAAGCAAAGATTGATTCTATTCCGGAAATTTAATACAGTCTGTTGAAAATTAGAATCAGAAATACCCCAGATTAGTAAGTCTCTTTCTTTTCCTTTATTTAGTTCTTTCTCTGAATACCGGCAGGTGTTGATTCCGATTGCGTAATATCACATATGGAAGAATTACGTTGCACGTATTGCGCAATAACGTTTGCGGTATTTTGCATTGATAATTAATTTTGATGTTCAGTCTGAGATTTGTTTATGAACACTTAAAAGAGTTTTACTGTGCTTTCTAAGCAGAATATTTCTCAGTTCCATTGGTTTTTATATGCTGCACATATCGAAATATCAAAATCATTTATTTAGCCTAAATTTAAATCTAAAGAATGGCTACAATCTCCCCCACTCCTCTTTTTCCAGTTACTATCCGGGAATTTCCAATATGCTGGTTAGTTAAGCTTTTACTGTTAAAGGATGACTGAATGAAGCAATTTCCCGTCTTCTGATTTCAGAAATATGCCTCTTTTTTACTTAAATTACTTTGCTTGGGATATATGTTAAGGGAAAACTGTTATGAATGAAATTAGAAAATGTTCAGAATTTTGATTTAAGTTAAATTATTTAAATATTAATATGAGTGGGAAAATAAATTGTATTGTTAAATATTTGCATAGTCGCCTGTAGTAACGGCAACCGCCGGCAATAAAAGGAGGTGCTTTCCTTAGTGGCACCGCAGTTCCTTTTAGTTCGAGCCAGA